TCATATTGAAACTAATTATATGGATTAAAAATTTTAAAGAACATGCACATAAACCTGCAATAGTTCTCAGAAATAACCTTCTTAGCAAAGAATACTTTTCAAAGTTGTTTGATTCCTTCCTCAGCGATCACAAAAACCAAAAAGCCAAACCAAATAAATGAAAACAAAACAACTCCCCCCTCCCCCTGCAAACAAGCCTAAAAAACGTTTGACTGAGAAAAAGAGTTGATGAATGGGGACAAAATCTGACTATAATAGTCACTATATCCAAAACAAACTCACATGAATTATTAAATCATGTTGATAGATTAAATTACTAGTCCATTAAAAAAATCTGCAAAGAATGAAAGGAAAAAAAGAAGGCAAGCAGTAATGAGGTGATACGGCTTTTTTTTTTTTTCGGAGGGGGAGGGGAAATATACTTTTAATTGAAGGTAAAAAGAATTGTAAAAAATTGACAACTGTATTCCCCACATTAAAAAAGAATCAGATTTAAAAAGTGAAGCACAAATCTACCTTATTTAAACTCACTTCCCTTGAAAAGGTGTCATTTTGAAATTATGACTTAAAATTTACATGAATCAAATGTACCTAATAGGCAATGGAACAAAATCTGATTTATTAGCAATCTATTATCCAATTCAAATTGTACAATAAAAACCTAAGAAACAAAAAGAGAGAAAAAAACCTGAGAAACAAAATTAAAATAGATGCCACTGTGTAGATTTAAAGCCCTTTATATTTAAAAAAAAAAAAAATTAAAACCTATGAGCCAAGTCACATTTCTTCTCATTGTGTAATTAAATTTCTATATTTTTAGGTTCTGGCCATTTTTCAACCATGAATTTTCAAAGTTAATTATTAATCAGAAGAGAAAAAAACCCTATACCAACAAAACCGTGTAAATAATCTGAACAGACATTTTACCTATAATTGTCTCCTTTTCTAGAAAACAAATGTGTTAGCTTGACCCATCTCCCCTGTTTTAAAAGGGTAGTTTAAACTGAATCAAAGCTCTTTCATATCAGATACACAGAACTACTAATAACATTCGATTTCATGTGAACTGAAATAACAGATGGTTAAATTTAGGCAACTGTTACATTTTCAAGTTTAGGTAATTCATCTGAAAGCAATAAAATATAACTTAAAAAAACCAAAAATGCATAGTAAAAGAATGCCTATTTGGCGCTCAGAACATTAAAACTGCTTGATATTTTATTCCAAAAAGGTAAGCACCAACTACTATGAGCTACTTAAAATTAATTTTCCTGGTTGAAAATTTTAATATTTTAAGTTTAACAGCTACCTCCACCACTACTCAAAAAGAAAATATGGTCATGGAGGTAACTAAATCAATAATCTGTTCTGCTTTAACCAGACACTAACTTTTAAAACCCAAATTTAAGCCAAAAATAAAACGTGCGATGTATTAAAATTATGTGTATTCCTTACTCAAAGCTGCAAATAACTAGACAAAGTCCCTTACCTTATCAATTATCTTTTGAAAGTGAACTTCCACAGAACAACTCTGAATATCCTTGTGTTCGTCAGAATTATGTATTAGTACTGAGAGTTTCTTAGATCTTATTTTTTGTGCTCGATAGCCAAACACGAAAAGCATAGAATCAATAACATTGGATTTGCCACTGCCATTTGGCCCAATAATACAGGAAAAGCGCTGCATAAAAAGAACAGAACAAAAAAATCAAAGTGAAGTTTAAAAGGTCATACTACCGATTTTAAACAACTTGATTTCTTTAACAAGCAGCAAATCTACAAGTATTTTGGTTTTCACTGCTACACAACACAACTTAAATTTTCTTACTACTTTGACACAAGCTTGAACACTTTAAAAAGGCCACATTCTAATTCTAACTTTTTACAAAATTCATTCTAATAGTAAAGAGAAAATACTACCTTCAAACAAAAAACTCACCAATTCTATTCAGTGAAAACAACTTTATAATAGGTAAAGAGGTACCAAAGATAATCAGATAAAGCTAATTTGTTGTTAAAAGCAAACACCAGGTATGCATCAATCAGGATAAATATAATAGTTACTGATACAAAATTGAAATATCTTGTAATAACGACTCATTATCTTTCAATAGTTATTTAAAATGGTCAAATACCTTATGAAAAGGTCCCAGAATTTTTTCCCCAGCATAGGATTTGAAGTTCTGGTTTACAATGTGCGTTATCATAAGCCGAGGAGCTCCAGCTTCATTGGTCATTGCAGGAGGCGGGGGAGGAGGGATGCTATTCAAAATCTCTTCTAAACTTCTATTATCAATTTCCTCACTTGGAGTCTCTAAGTCAGTCAAGGGAAAGGAAAGGCAAAGCGAGGGGTGGGGGGGAAGCCTGCATTAGTGCAATTCGTTCTGAGGACTAGAGCCTACTACTCTCTGGAGAGATGTTATTTAAGAAACACAGGAATCTCTCTTTTCCACTTAAATAGTATTATCCAAGCTCAAAGGCGATCAGAATCTTTCATCTTGATTTTAGTAAAAAAATTCTTCAAAGGAATGCCACCAGTCACAAAAACCTATACAAATCTACTTCTTAGGAGTCAAAACACTACATCCATCATAAAGCAAAGCTGGGAAAACCACAGCAACCCGATTCCCTGCTGCCCGCCCATTGGGGTGGTTAAATCCTAAGGCTCTAGATCCAACTGTTCCCGTATCGGAGCTCCTGGAAACTCCATTCCCGAGCCCCACCGACAGTCACAAGGGTTTCATAATGTCACCTCATCACTGGACTCACAAAGGCTACGGTGGCTTCGAGTAAATGATCATCTTCTCTTTAATCTAACTTTAAGGCCACAGAAGTGAGGTTAGGGTCAAGCAACTTTCCATTTTATTAATACTGTACATTGATTACGCCTGGAAAAAAAAAAAAGTCCACCGGCTATTGGCTGACCCGGCCGATTTCCGCGGAAATAACAAGGCCACAAACAGAAATTTAGTCAACGGCCGAAGCCACCGACTCGCCCCCATCCCCTCCGGTCCCGTTACACTCAAAGTGCACGGTCCCGTCTCCGAAAATCGCCGAATCGCTCTCTGGAGCTGACCTACCGGACCCACACGCATCCCGGGACGTCCCCCTCGCAGCTCTCCTTGCTCTTCGCAAGTAACCCGGCCCGTCCCGGGCGGGGCGCGGGACCCATCGGGTCTCCGCTGCGCGGTCCTTGCGGAGCCTGGGCGGGCGGCGACTCACCTGCGCATCAGGGCCGGGC